GTAGTATGTGTGTGCGTGTGTGTGTGTGTGTGTGCGTGCGTGCGTGCGTGCGTGCGTGCATGTAGATAGTATTATAAAGATTTATGTGTGGAAGATTTGCGGGAAATCGATCCTGTGTGTTGTTTGTTTTGCTAATGTTGGCCTTGCAGTCTTAGTGGCCACCCGAAGGTACCCGCATTGTGTTTCTTTAACTATGTAACTTGTAAGTAGTAACCTAGCTACTCTTTATTCAGTTCTTTACGATTTAAAATGTTAAATTTGTATGAGGAGATTTTGTCATTTTTCTTCCAGTGTCTGTGACTGTCCATATGTGTCTTATTCAATGTCATGATGCAATGTGGCTGGTGCAGAAGTTTAGCTGTGTGATGTGTAATGTTTTCAGAAAATGAAATGCTCATAAGCATTTTCCTTTTCCATCAGGTACTTTGCAAAAGATGATATTTGAACATATTTTGGAGTTTCTCAGCAGAGAGGTAGAGAAGAACTTTGGTTCTGATGATGATGAAGCCATAGATCAATTGCAGGTATGATGAATGATTCGGCTGGCCTCGAATGTCAGAGCAAATCATGCAGTAATCCAGTAAGGGGTAAAGTTCTTTCTATTATGAATTTGCTAACACCACCCCAAGCAAGTGCGCATTAGTATGTTAGGCAAAAGGTGATAGGCTCAAAGTGTTTCCTATACGACTCTTTAAGTCACTAGCTACAGCTTAACATATAGTCATAATCATATTAAATTCAAATTGACATGAAAAACTCGAACGGTAGCATATTATTCAGATGGTATTTTACCATATACGTGTATGATGCTGCCATCTATTGGGAATAATAATGAAAAACAAAACATGGTACTTTGTTTGACTCGTGTAGCTTTTGCTTCTTACGTAGATGCATTATCATTTGCATACATCTTGAATGTTTCGAGAAATGGCCATATAGTGTGCAATACTTGTCACTTTCAATCAGACTCTATTCTCTCCTACGTTGGTTTAAAGTAACTGTGAGTCCGTCCGTCCGTCCTTCCGTCAACATTTGGCTACGGTCAACGATAACTCAGGAACCGTTTGACCCACATGTTTGAAATTGGGTATAGTTGTTACTGCTATGCTCCCATATTGAACGCCCTATTTTGGAGCACGCCAGTCGACGTACTTTCGAGCCACGGCAATTTTTTGGGAAAAATGGGAATTGCCATTAGTCAGTTCAGATTCAACGGATTTTGCTCATTTTTAGCTCATCTGACATAGTCAGATGCAGCTTGTAGAATCGCATGATCGTCCGTGCGTCCGTGCGTCCGTGCGTCCGTCAACAGTTGGGCACAAATCTTAACCGCTCGACGTACGGTCACGATATTCGGGACATCGGGGGAGATTGTCAAAACGAGTTGGGATGTCGAAGCTGGTGGTCATAGGTCAAAGGTCAGCAGGAAGGAAATATGATGAAGGCTAAGGTCAAGGTCAAATAAAAGCCGCAGTGACTTGTTTTGCTACGCGACACCATTTCTCCCAAGATGTGTAAGTATACCAAGTTGGTAGCGCTAGGTCAATTAGGGGCCGAGTTAGAGACAGCGAAGGAAATATGATCAAGGTCAAGTAAGAGGTCAAATAAAGGTCGCAGTGACCTGGTTTTGTACGCTGCTCACCTTCTCTCAGATGTGTAAGTATATCCAGTTGGTAGCCGCTAGGTCAATTAGGGGCCGGAGTTAGAGGAGCGAAGGGAAATATGATCAAGGTCAAGGTAAAGGTCAAATAAAGGTCGCCAGTGACCTGGTTTGGTACTCTGCACACCTTCTCCCCAAGATGTGTATTCTCTCCGGGTCCGCCCGGACCACACATGGCAAGACCAGTCGCGAAAGGACTACATGCACCACAGCCGAAAACG